CTTATTTATTGGCGCAGTTTATTCGAGTCTATATCGTATAACAATTGTGGGACGAACTGGGCCCTCTCTTTACACATTTTTGTTTATTCAAGTTCAATAATTGCTTTCGCTAATTTTGTAATTTACTAATTTCAATTTTTAATTCCACTTATCGATAATTGCTTTGAAATAGCCGTTGTGTTGGCCCTCCACATGCATATCTAATCAGTTATTAAATGACAGTTGTGCGGCGCAGTTATCCAAATTGAAATTTAATTAGATCAAGGCACTAAAACTATATAGTTTTTTCTAAAAGAGGCCAACAAATAAGAGTATCCAGAATAAAAATAAAATATTTAGGAAGGCCGAGATGGGACTAACTGGAAGCCCCATCGTATCGACTATTAAGGATTGTATTAGCCATATTTTATGTGATTTCGGTTACGGCCAACGCCATTCGGACCTGCAGCAACACTAATTTGGTAAATCACGTTCTGGTCATGTGTCGGCCATACCTAAAGGGTGGAAAGTTCACTCCGTTGGGATTCTGGACTCCGGAGTTCGGAGTCGGGACTCGGAACTCTCCCCCATCTTGGTATTGGGTGTGTATCTACAAAAATCGGACTCTTGCCCATAATGGGCATGTAATTTATTTTTGGTCCTGGACTTTCTATATTTGGTCTTATGGGCCGTGTTAAATGCCAAGCTGTGCTGTGTTGTTAACGCAGCATTCTCAGCGCGATGGCGGTCAAGGGGGGAGGATAGATAGAGGGCGCCAGGGAGACAGGGACATACCTTTTGTTGTGCTTTTCTTTTATTTTATTGTTAAAAAATCGCTTGCTTTATGATATTCTGTTCGCCTTTTCATGTTTTCCTATTTTCGTGCTTGTGTCGGCTTGTGTTGGTCAGCAAACTTTGGTTTTTATGATTTTTAGTTTCCTCGAGATGTGAGATGGTAGATGCGGTGGTGCGTGGAAAGGGTTCACCCACCACCACACCCCGTCAGTGTGGTAATGGGTCGTCTTTCGGGTCGGGTTCATATGGTTCATATGGTCTGGCCCATTAAATTGGCCATATTTTTTGCTCATAAGCAGACGCTGAAATTGCATAGTTTATGTTTGGCATTCTCAGGGCTTCTTCTCGTCCTTTTTAGCCTTTCTTCAGATGTGTTTTGTTTGAAAAGTTTTGTTCAATGAATTGTAAACATTAGGCTATGGGGAATCAAGTCCCCCATTTTTAAATATTCCATACATTTGAAATATTATACAAAATATTTCAGTTAGAAACTAGCTTCCTCTTTAAGTTCCATTACAACTAGTCCTAGTAGTCCATTCCAATTCAATTTCCTCCCACAGCCGGAAGAGTTAAAGTGATGAATTGCAGTTCCAGTCTCATTAGGAGCTTCTGCTCCCAGCCACACCCTGGAAAGGAGAAAAAGTCTGTTGAACTTTGACTTGGGTCAATGGCAATGCCTTTGCATGCCCTGTGTTGTGGGCACCAATAATGATGTTGGCATTCCCCGTAAGTGCATATAAATTATATCTTGAACGACGGGCGAAGGAAATATTTTACATTAGGGGCGGACAGCCACCAACTGGGCGGGGCCGAGTTCGAACTCATTTTCATATGTACATTGTACAACCATGCCGGGCCGGTCGTGAATATTTCTTGTCGTTCCATATCTTCATGTTTGTTTGCCGGTGATGTGCAATCCTCCCTTGGCCTGTTCGCATTATCCCTCCGCCGCCATTCCTTTCCGGCCATTGTTGTTTGCATGTTTGTATTTAAAAACGGGCAAACACTTTTAGCCAAACACACGTAAGTGCTGCTGCTGTCCTCTGTCTCTCCCAATGTGTCGCCTGTCGACAAATAAAACCGAACATAAATCATCCGTAGCAGTCGCATAAATAATAAATAAACACACACTCTAACGAATACGTACGGGTGGCTATCCCCCCTCGACGAAGGGGGGCCTCTAAATCGGTTCTGCATTATAAGTTTAAAAATTTCCCTGCTCTCCAGCTTTAAAGATTATATACCTTTGGTGGAAAGGTTTATTTATGGCCGACATGAAAGCGAGCTCTGAAATAAAATTTATCGGCCTGGCTAAGCCATTATTGCCAAGATGAGAGCTTGGCCGCAATTCGCAGAAGCTTTCAAAATCAATTAGAGAAAGAAGCTCGGTTTTGTTGGCATAAGACTTTCTTTAAACTCTGCCCAGTTATCTGAACACCAAATACTAAGGAATAACAGCTGAAAATCCACTTGTACAAATATTAATTCTCCAGCATTCCGAAAACTGTCGCCAGTTCTGGCGGACCCTAAAATGAATAACAACGGCCAAGGAAAACTCTGGCCGAAACATGGCCAAGAACATTTCGGCACATAATTCTTTTTCCAGCCGCAAAATAAAAACTGCCCGGAGAGAAAGCCGGCCGCCGGCAGGCCCTTCAAAGGAAAAACAACTAAAAAAAAAATTTTTTTGCGAGCCGAATTCATAATTCATTGAGCCAGCTGTGCTAGGGGAGTGGCGAGTGGTGACCGCACCAAGAGTTGGCTATCATTTACACCATGCAGTTTGCCCATTTCCATCTCTAGCCGAGATCCCCTCCTCCTACTTTGGCTTCAGCGTCAGCCCTCCTCGACTCCGCGTTCCGTTCATCATGCAAAAACCATTTTTTTGCTCTGTGTGCTGAAAATTAATTTGCTCACGCGCCAAACGGAAAACTCCCCGGAAAATCTCTCGAGTCCGAAAAAATGGTTTCATCTGCAATGCGACGCAAACAGTTGCCATTTTTCCCCGTGCCCCGTGCCCCATGCCATGCCCGGGCCTCGACTCGGAGCTGGTCGTTCATTTTATGCGACGACCATCGCATAAATTTCACAAAATTCATACATCAATATGGCTGGCTGGATGGCTGGTTGCCTGGGTAAAGTGGTCCAAATGCGAGAAAATGGCAGAAAATTTCTGCGGTTGCCACTTCAGCTGATTAGGCGGACCGCATTTCTCAAATATTCGACGGCGATTGCAATAAAGGCGATACCTGTGTAGCTTGGCCAAGTGGCGTATGCGCAATATTTGCCACTGGGCAGCCGGCCAAGAAAAAAAGTGCTGGGCCTGGCTGGGAGCTCCGGGAGCAATTGCTGGTGGCGCGGAACTAAATATTTGAGCAGAGCCCTTGTTGTGGCGACCGAACCGAGTGACCCATAAAATGTCACAACGATTCGCCGCCAACTGTTGCAACCTCACTTTGCCGCAAGCAGCTGTCTCCTGTCTTCAGCTTCATTGCTTTATGCCCACCGTTTTGGACACTTCGCTTCCGGAAAGGTTCAATTGTAGTTTAAATGCAGTTGTTGGCCCAGGGCACAGATTTTATTCTTCATTTGAGATTTTCTGGTATTAGTTTTATGGTAGTTTTCGAAACTATTTCTTTAAACTCCTAAATAAAGGATTATGGAATATGGAATTCATAGACTATTAGACTGGTCTATTTATTAAGACTTCTTGGTATTACAATTTCATTTAGTTTCCAATATCAAAGGATGAGGGAAAATATTTAGAAATGGTAAGCCAAATAAAACAATGCTGTGAAATGGGAATGTCGCTGTCAACGTTTCAGATGCAAAACAATTTTTCCTTTACATGTCGGACCAAAGGTCTCACTCCGCTCCTCAGCAGACGAAAAACTATTTCCATTTCTTTCAATTCAAATTTCACTGACATCTGCAAAAATGAACTTTGACAGGAAAGCAAACAGGCAGGGGCAGAGAGTGTTAGAGGCAGGGCAAGTACTTGTTTGTTGACATTTCCATTCTATGCATTTATTGTTTCCCCTTCTGGCCCGACAGAAACGTTTTCCGAAAGCTGCCAAAAAAACGGTCGACATCGCCATTCAGATAGCTAAAAAATATAGAGAGCAATTGACATTGGTACTGCTTAGATAAAGGAACGGGATGCGGCGTATGGGCACTCAGACTAAGCCGGAGGTCCTGCAAAAGTAATTGCGTGGTTCCAGTTTGATTGTCTTTTTCTTATGCAAAAAGTTTGGGGAAGCAAGCTGTACGGAATGTAACAACTTTTGACATAAATATGCATAAGCTCTCTAGCTCGGTCCGGGCCCTGAAATTCTGCCCTGATCTGGGCGAAGTCCTGCTTAACAGGACATGCCATAAATGTCCCGCACACGTCCATCAACGTCAGGTTGAAGCCCGCCCGGCTCCTCAATAGTAAATCCCAATCTCAACCCAACCCTGCGGGCTTCACTGTGGCATTTCCATTTTGCATCCTGCAGCTGCTTCAATTCCTGCTTGGCCATTTGCCGGGCGCCAGGATATGCCTGGGATACGCTTGTGTGTTTATCGTTTTGCATACGCATTATTTATTAAGGCTGCCACTGAGAGTTGAGAGCTGGTCGAGTGTCCTGCGGGGCGATCACTGCAGCTCAGTAGTTGGCATTAAGTAGGCCTGTCGGCCAACGGCCATCCAGCTTCCTGGGATGGCAGCCTCTTGCAGCGAGTTGCAGCTGGCCAAATTCCTGGGAGTGATTAGCATGCAAAATGTTTTGGGTTTATTGTTTTAGCAAAACTAATTAGTTTGAGTAATTGAAACCCGAATTCGGGCAATTGCTCCGAGAGTTGCTTCCTTTTGTGCCGGCATTCCTTCCATCCCACATAATCGTATGGCAGTTGCCTTTGTGGTCGACTGCAGTTTCCTAATTGTTGATTCGGATTTATTTTCATGCCCATGAGGAAGTGGCAGAGTCAAAGGGGCATTGCTACACAGACTGGAGATAAATTGGAATGGCAAAGGCCGCAGGGTGAATTGTCAATAAAAGCCTGCGAAATGAAATGGATAATGCTCTGATTGCCCAGCGGTTTGTGGGAGGCTCTAGTACAAATATACATATAACAGTCTATTTACTTATGAATGGAGATTAAAGCCACTATTATCTACTAAGAGTTATTGTGGATGCTATATTTATATGATCATTGACTAATTTGTATATTTATTTTTCTTGCAGACAAGACGCTTGTACACACAATAAGGAGGGAGTCGCGCAAGTCAATAGAAATCGAATGCTACCAAGCACTGCCATATACCACAACTGAATGCGATGATTAAAGTAATAGAATACCGAACAAAATATTGAATAAAGAAGCCATTTTACGAGAAGTAGAGTTCTTGAAGACCACTGACCAGGAAATGAAAGAGAAAGGGTAACCGGAACAGCAGCAGAATCTTAAGAACCTCTAGAAGAACCATACAATTATCTAAAATAGTGATTTGTAAAGCTTAACGTCTCTCCAGAGGAAGAAGAACATTTTTTCAGAGACGAGAGGAGAAAGCAGAGCTGGAGAAAACTTTTTATAGAAGAAAGCACATAAAATGAATGGAAAAACGCTCTTCGGGTTGTAAAGAAAACATGAAGACAAAGGCAAAAAATGCATAATAATGTTGCAAACAATAAAAAATAAACTTGCCATATGAATATAAAGGAATCGCGTTGAAAGACGGTGAAATTTCATAAGATTAGACAGAATTAAGGCGGACACAACAAAGGGACTTAAACCCCATCCCGAAAAGGACAATGTAAGCTGCAGCAGCTGGATAAGGCCAAAAATCCGAAAATTAAATTATTGTAGTCTAGTTGGGAGTGAGCGAAGGCAGACACATATCCGCTGGCAACAACAAACACCGAAAGAGACTATGAAAAATGCACAACTGAAACTGACTGAAGTTGACGATGACGAGCTGTGGCTGGCAGTTAGATTACCAAACAGCAACAGCAACACCAACAGCAGCAGCAGCACCAGCAGCAACAATGATAACAGTGGCAACCAGAATAACCAAGAGGAGAAGCAGCAGCCAACACAATTGCAACCAAGGAGCTTAAGTACAAAACACCACAGCAACATTGCCCGAAATCAGCAGACAAAGCACTATGTAGCCACAGCCTCCAACCAAGTGAGCAAAAATGAGCAGCATCAACGGCTAGAAAGCAACATGTTGTCGTCAGAGACGGACTGGGCTGCAACAACCAAACAACCAACAAACACAAGACTGGGCGCACGCAAGCGACAAAGATTGCGTCGGCGACGAAAAAGAAAACCAGCAGTTACAGCAGAAATAGCAAGTGAAGCCAGTGCCACATCAGCATCAGCATCCACAACTAGCAATAGCAGCAGCAATCTGTGCCCGACAGCCACCTACATGCAATGTCGCACCAGCGACAACAAAGTCAGCAATCCGAGATCAAAACAGGACCTGTCCTCGGCCACACTCTCGTGTCTGTGGCTGCTGCAGTTTCACGTGCAGCATCGAGTGGCTTTCCTGATTAGAGGGATCGTGATCAGCACCACCGCCTTCATTTCCTATCTAGGCAGTTCGGCATCCCATCTGCACCGGCATCGCAGGAGCAACATTTGCAGCACCAATAATAGTCATCAAAGCCACAGCAACAGCAACAGCAGCAGCAACAGCACTAGCACGCAAATAATTAACGGACTTAATAAACACTCATGGATATTTTTATTGATATATTTGAATTTATCTGCTAAAGGTGAGTGCCATTCAAGACTCTGTTCAATTTATCTCAAGTGATAGCACTCGAGCCTGCCTGCAACATGCAGCATCGACGCCGAGCAACAGTTGCCGCTTGTCGCACACAATGCATGCCAGCAAAATATTGTCGCTTTGACACATAAAACCCACTTGCGGATGGGGGCAGATTTTGTGAGCCTACGTCCTGTCATCGTGCAACATTCCCCCCATTTGATGTCATTGTTGTTTGTTCGTTGTGACATTTACGACAGCCTCAAGTGAAGCAACAGCAGCCATCTCAGACCAGTCTGTGGCACTTGAGAGCGTCTGCGCCTCAGGATATTTTCTTACATTTTTTGTTGCCCCCCACTCGAGAAGTCCTTAGTCCTTGTTTGTGGCTAACGCGTGGCAGGCCGCTGCTAAGGTGCTTCAAAGGCCGTGTGGCATAAACGTCGCAGCCCAAGATGCAGCTGCAAGAGGCCCTTCAAGGAGCATGGCACTGCGACAAACGTAGTCAATTAAAGTGATTGCACTTTCTGGGAATAATATTTGGTTTCTCCCAAGAGAATATCACTTCAAATTTAAGAACCACTCAGGGCTGGGAAGGGACCAGCATTCTCAGCTTAATTAAATCAAATTCCTTGCTCCGGTTGCCCCAAAATGTTGCAGCAAAAAACTATTCACAGAAACTAAGCAAAGTCATGTTGAACAATGTGTGGCCGGGGCTGTGCTGGAAAGTTGCAATGCCATAAATACTTTCAACAAGCATTTGCTGCACAGAATTTTCCCATCTCAAGCAGCCGCTGCTGCCATTGCCTTTCCATGCATGCGGTTGTGGCATGGGGCTGGGAAATCGTTTAAAATATTTTTTGCTATTTCTATGCTGCTCTCAGCCCTCAGCTCCGAGAGCTCAAAAATTCTTTGTCACGGCAACAATATTTTCAAACGAGACAAGGACCAAGTTCGGTTGCCAGCTCGAATGCCTACCGTTCCATTAGCATTAAGCAAAAAACAAGCCAAGACGCTGAAGGGGCTAGGGCCGTCTGCCACTTACACACATTGGGGTTATTAATGGTGGCCCATATGGGCAGGGGCGACAAAGCCCAAGATTGAAAGTGTTTCCAATGTTTTTCATGCTGTCGGAGACTAAGTCCCATTCGCGTGTCGCGCTCGCATGCTAAAGTTTTGAAAAAGTTAAATACCCTAATGGGACAGTGGTATAGAGTTTGTTTTAATATTTCTTTAGCCAGATAAGGGCATTACTAATATATTCTTCAATAATACGAAATATAAGAAATGTATTCTTTTTAGATATTCTTTAAAATGACATACTTTTTTCGTTGAGCCCTCGTTTTCAAAAGTTTTCCATATCCTAGACCACTGCCTCTTTAACTTGTTTTTATAAATACAAGCATATGAGCCGGGGCATTGGCTTTGAGCCTTCAGTTCCCTGTTCCTTTGGCTGTCTGTCGTTTTGGCTTCGAGTTCATGTTTCATGCAACTCCAGCAGCAGCAGTTTCAGCAACAATTGCCGCCCTGCCATATGCGTGTGCATGTTTATGATTTTATGGCATCGCTTCCGTTTCCGCAATGTGGGCAATACTGTACAGCTGCCCTGCCACTCTGCCCCATGGCCCGACCATCCTTCCACACTCTCCTGCCACTCCTGCCATCGCTAATCAGATTTAAACTTTGCACAACGTCAACGTTGCTTACACCAGCTGTGGCCTGGGTGGGCGAGTGTGTGGCTGTTAGTGTATTCATGAGTGTGTCGAGTATGCGCCTGCCCTATGACATCGTTCATACGCCCTGTTGGCCAGCCAAGTGTCCCGCCCCTCGGCTCTCTGGTCATGTTCTGTAAGTATGACATTTATTGCTACGGAAAGGCTTTTGGCATGCTTCATGAGTTCGAGACTTTTTCGCATTTGACAGCCGCCTCTAATCTGTGCTCGTTTTCTCCGTTTGATTTCCTGTCCCAGGCCCTTAGCTGAAGACGTTGATTTAATTGGAATTTTGTAAAAGACAAATGCCCCCCTTAAAGATGGTGGTGCAGACTCTAAAAAAAGGATATTAGTTTCTTTAAGGCAGACCTACCATATGCCGAAAATGTCAACTCTATCAATCTATAATCGCACATTCAAGCTTTTCAGCTGCCACACGATGAATGTCACAAGTTCCCTTCCATCATTAGCTAAAGGGTTGTACACGAGAGAAGAAACACAATGTCATGCCTGCCATTTGCATTATGAAAGCCGCTCTCCCCAGCTTTGAGGCCCGCACACACGAGTCTGAGACAGATGATGGGCTCATCAGCCAAGTACAAATAATCCCCCCGGCCCGGCCACTCATATCCAGGCGAACGTATCACAAAGGCCGGGATCTGCTCGAGAAAGAGGCTCTGAAACGTTTTCTGGACCAAAATCAATCATCAAATATGATAGCATTCATAATTTTCAATAGTGGACACAAGGCACTTTGATTGATGGCCCTGCCAGAGGATTCCCGGGAATGTCAGTTACTTTGAAAACTGAAAAAAAAGGTTTAAGACCTTCACAAATACAACTTCGATTGGGGTGTAGGAGGGAGTGATGCGACACCTATTAAGTCTAAAATCCTAAATATTATTTAATTTAATTTAATTTATTCTGAGTTGTGTCTAGTTTCTCCAAGTGTGGTGACTTCTTCCCTTCTAAGTTCATTCTTTTACAAAACTGTCTATCGATTTGTTTCCATTTTTGAGCCCACTCGTGTCTCAGGTTACCAAATCCCTCTCATTCCTGACCGGGGCACACAAAAAAAAAGAATTAGGGAGCAGGAAAAGGGAAAACAAGAAAGTCATAAGCAATTAAATGCTTTCCCAGCTCCCAAGCCCCATCCAATTAAGGGAAACTGTGTGTGTCTGTGTGTGTGCGAAGGGGCACGGAAGGGGGGCTAAAAGCCACGTCGAGGGACAGAGGAGTGGCAAGGTAGCAGCTATTGCTGTTGTTGCATGAATTTTTATTGCATAAATTAAGCTTTGAATGGTTGAGCGTCACCTTGGCGCTATTAAAACGCTCGCTTCTGGGCCTCCCTTTCTCGTCTATTCTCTCCATGTCCTGGCCCCCTCGTCCCTGTCCCTGTCCTGCTCCCCGTGCAGCCATTAGCAGGTGAGAGATGCCCGGGTAGTGGCTTACATCCTTTCCAGCAGACAGCCATCAAGCTTCATCACTTTCGTCCTTCCACCGCCAGACTCTGTCTTGTTCTGTATCGCTTTTTTGGGAGCTTAAGTGGCGTCGTGTCAGTTTTCGTTTTGCGAGCCTTCACTTTTTAATATTGGCGGGCAGTGCGAGCCAAATGTTTTTTTTTTTGCCAAGGCCTGTACCCTTGTCTAAGGCTCGTTGAAGTCACAAAGAAGAAGGGAAATGGCCCAAAAAAAAGTACAAACATTATATTTGAGTTCTAGGACTAGTCTATTTAGGCCAGACTTTCCTTCTTCATTTAATTAAAATAATTGAAAGTATTTATCATTTGGCTTTAGAGTAGATTTCGCATTGCTTATCTGGTCACAAATGCTGAATGAAACAGGCTCCACTGACTGTTTTTATTTTCGGGAGCATCGGCCAATTTGCTGTCGTTATTATTGGTGTCGTTGTGGCGTGTGTTCCGTAGGCAGCTGCATTTTCTAACCAATTTTGGTTGCTTTTTATTTTGGCCATTAAATTGGCCGCTACGCTACGCCTCTTGCCACTGCGGTCGCCCCCTGCCTCTCTGGGGAGAGCCCCTCCCCGGTTCGCCGTCCGTGGCTGCAGCTGTTGCCGCGCTGCCTCCACTCGCTGTCTCCCGCCGCCCGAGTCCTGTCTGGCCAACGACTTGGCATGGCTTTGTGAAATAGCAATTACTTTTTCATGCTCCACTGCAATAAAATTGCAATTTTATGCGGCCGACAAACAACAAAAACACCACCATCAAAACGGCAAAAAATGGAGAAAATAACGAAACGGAAGTGCAGCCATTGAAAAGGCATTTTGGAATAACCACAGCCTATACAGAGAGCGGGTGCAGGATAGCGGGAGGTACTGACTTAAAGACGACTGCCCGACTGTCCAAAAGTTCAAGCCACAAAAATGGCAAGTTAATGATTCCCGACATGTATGGCTTTCGAGTCTTTAATGAAACTAGCGAGTAGGTAGTTGGCTAAATGTTAGGTCAGCAGTTGAAGGCTTTATTTAAATTCGGGCTTAAAGACAGTGGGTTAGAAACGTTTTTAAGCTTCTGCTGGTCTGATAACAAAGGAAAATAAAAACAAAAGTCTCGTCCCATGATGTCGCAGTCAAAAGTCGGCAAGAGTCCCTTTGTGTCCAGTTACAATGGCCACCAGATACTCGGCATCTCCATCTCGGCCTGCTCTCATATTTGTTTTATTATCACATTCATTTTGACACTTCATCAGACGTTGGCCTCTTTTTGTTGTCCTGCTGGTTTTGTCTTCTCCAGAGCCTCTGTTGCGCTCCTGTTGCTTTGTTCTGGCCTCTCTTTTTCGCTTGGCTGGTGTCAATGTTTTGCCTTAAAGGCCTAACTAGTTGCTGTATGCCTCCGCCCCTCGCACTCATTGTTGGCCTGAGCCTAAGCCTGAGCCTGGGCCCGGGCCTGTGCTCGTTAGCTGCAGTTTTTCCTTCATCTGCCCTCGCCTTTTTTCTTGGCCTGCAGGCTCGTCATTTTGTTTTAATATTAAATGAACAAGGAAGAGCGCGTGAAAGCGAATGAAATATGCAAGAAGTCAGGCGGAGAAAGTGGCAAGGCGGCAAGTGTAGAGCGCTAGAGAAAGCTAGCTGGCGGAGAGAACTAAAGACAAATTAAAACTAAAAAATTCATGTGCATAATTTCTAAACGCTGTTCATTTCGTATGCAAATCTTCTGGTCTGAGCCAGCTGAGTGAAAAGTTCTGAGCGCAAGCCGGAATAAATTTTTGCCCCACAGGTTCCCAAAACAAGTGCAAGGCAATATTAAATTATTTGAATAATTCAGGAATCTAATTGCAAACCACTTCGTATGCAGTGGATTACCAAGAACTCCTTCAGGGCTTAATTCAATTTCAAGAACCTCATCAATGGCAATTTTCCCAGATTATTTTTCCATTTCCAGCGATTCTCCGCCCCTCCAAGATTATGCCCTCGAACATGGACTGCATTCTCAATCGCTCAACTCAATAAAGCCCCAACTTACAGCTACTTACCGACTTCTTATTGTCTTGGTGGGCGGGATGGAGCTGCAGCAAAGGAAAAACTCTTAAGAAATTATCAAATTGGGGAGCAAAGAGCAGCAGGCTACATCTCCTCTAGTTTCTTTCGTAGTTCCCTCTGCTGGCCATATTCATGCATAAATAATTCCACGATAACGATGCGAATATGTCTGAACATGCATGTGTGCGAGGCAATCTATTATCGCTGAGGAAAAACGTAGCAAGAAAATTTGTATGTGAAAAACTTTTCTCAATAAAAGTTTCCTTTTGTTATTCGCCTGCCAGAGAACAATAGAGACCGAGAAAGACATATGTGTGTTGGCACAGCCAAGAACAAAAAGGGCTGACAGAAACTTTCCTGCACCATCCCTTCGAACTCCTTCTGCTGTTGCCTTTCCAATCCAACGCCGAATGCGAACCGGGCCCGCATCCTTGCCATCGTTTCGGGCTCGTCCCGAAAACTAAGTAAGACCAACGACCAAGCAGCAAGGACCAGGACAAACCGAGCTCCACAAACCAAAAACTCTTAAACTTTTGCATATCAATAAATTGTAGTTGCCGACCTTCTTTCCCTCCAACCAGAGCCATTTGCCGAATTATTGATGTTGATTTGCGGCGCTCCTGTAAAATGGCAAGCACTTGCTGGATGGTGCAGTCCTTCTGCAATCCTTCCTGCCCGCCCCTCACCCCTCTATCTGTAACTAAGTTTCCCGAGTAACTTGTATGCACTAATTCGAGTTTTATTTACTTGCAGTTTGCCTAGCAGGATATCATGAAAAGAGACTGTTACATGATCTTTTGGATCCTTATAATACACTAGAACGTCCTGTTCTTAATGAATCGGACCCGTTACAATTAAGCTTTGGTTTAACTTTAATGCAAATTATCGATGTGGTAAGTAAACCTTTTTTCTATAATAATATTATTTTATATAAAGGAAACCCACAGTGTATAATACAGCTGGAACTCATAATTTAATATTAACTTGAAAGCGTATTAAAAGATTAAACTAGTTATATGTACAAATCACTCTAAAAACCTTCATTTAAATCTCAATTACGGCAACGGCTTATCGATTTCCATTTGAACAACTTCATTTAATCTAATTCTACTGTGATTAAGGTGGAAACATTATTGGGCATCCCTTAAATTTCCGGGCCTTATCACCACATGCATGTAATGTCAAAAGAAAACTTTCAGTTTCACAAGCTGCCACCCCCGTGGAGAGGACGCCTTAAAGCATGCAGCTGAAAAAAGAATACCTGATGACACAATTTGGTCCTGTATAAAAAGTGAATTGCCAAGAAAGTGAAATTTTAATTATTTGCCGGGAGAAACGCACACACATATGTACCTGTGTATGTGGAGATGTGTGTGTTTTGGGTCCTGTCTGTGGGCTTTTCCTTGAATGGCAGCTGGCGCTTCCTTAACCTCACCTCGCACATATATGGCCTATTTGCAGACAGGACACACACATATCCTGGCTGACTGGCAGTGTCGAGCAAATTACATGCAACGTCATGTGGCATGTGCGGCGTTTGACTCATTTTCACCTTTTGGATGGGCGGCCGAGTGGGCGGGCTGCATTCATCAGTTGAAAAAACTTTTCTCTAACTCACAATTGCGTAAAGGGGGGGAGTAGGCACTGGTCGTCCTGGTGAAAGGGTAACGGGAAAGAAAGTGGCGGTGGACTGGAAAGGTGGAAACTGTTGGAAAAGTCGACGCGATGCGAGGCGTTTGCTTTTGTTAGTGAGACAACCTCAATTCATATTAGATTTACATTGCATTTGTTCGTATGTGTGGCTTGTTTGTTTGCCTATCCCGCACAAAGTTGGGATTCAGCAAAATGGAGCGCACAAACAAAGGGCACTCACACATGAGGCATGAAAAGCAAAAACAGCAACGCAAAAAAGTTGCTTCTGGCATACACGGCACATGTGGCAGTAGCAGGGGCTGCTCTGCGGGTTGGGGCAGTACCAGGAGCAGGAGCTGTTTGGGAAAAAAAGAAAAACGAAAACGGTTCTAGACGCTAGAAAACTGCGCATTCAGTGACGCGCTAAAAGTCGCATACACAGTAAATAAATACACAAATTTAAGCAAAATAAGAAAATTTGAATGGAAAATAAAGTAAATATCTGAATCGATCCTAAAATAGATCTAAGATTTATTTGCCTTGTTCATTTGTCATTAACCCCTTAATTAAACCATTTGAATGTGTTACAAATTTAGAGTATGTCAAGAAGAAAATATTTATTAAAATCTGAGTATAACAAGCCGGAGGCATAGGTGGCGTATACTTAATTTTTTTGACATATTGCGTATACGCCTAGTACACATACATCAAAAGCTTATCAAGCGCACGAGATAATCGTAGTTTCTTTAAATAAAAGTTTTGGTAAACTAAAGATTTTATTAGATACATTATTATTCTATTTTAAACGCCTATTTTTACACAAAAAATATAATTTCTTATTTTCGATTATTTTTCGACTTGCAAAGATGTCCTGACTTTGAAACGTGCATTTACAATAAAACACACCCGTACACACTTGGCATGCAAATAAAATGAATAAATAAAATTTGCACATGTGCTTTCACACCTTGTGCCAAAACATATAAACCAGAGGGCGGACTGGCGGTGACGACTGGGGGTGTGGCAGGATGGCGGGGAGGCTGGGTGGCCTGGATGGTTTGGATGGTCTGGATGGTCGGCAGTGTGCCGGGGGGACGGTAAAGCAATGAAGTGCGAGTTGCTGCTGGTGCAAAATGAAGTTGAAAGACGGAACGAATGGGCACAATGCGCTGGCTGGTGTTGTTTGTTGCCGCGCTGGGTGGCAGTAAAAACTGCAGCACGCACACTCGACTCGAAACGCAACAGCGGCGGCAATTACAGGGAGAACTGGGAAGGCAGCGCATAAAAACCAAAATCGGGTCATTTGGACGGAATGCCGAGCGGGAGCGAGTGAGAGATGTTGCCACCTTCGAATGCCAAACTAGGGTTTATGAGCCCTGTGGTGTACTCAAACTTTTATTGCCCCCTGTAACTGTAACTGCGACTGTAACTGGCCCGCTTAGATGTCACGGCAATCAAAAGTTGTTAATGCTTGACGGGGAATCGTAATCGTAAGGAAATTAGTTGCATATGGTGCGATAATAAAGGATATTGCCCTCTTGCCACATTTTCAGCTCTCCCTGGTTCTCTGGCCGGGCTCAGAAAATATTTTTCTGGCAACTGCAGGTCGCCAGCGCCATTAGTCGTCCGCTGGGACATGCCAGCACTTGACACTGCCCATATTTTAACTGCTAAATGCAATGGCACCAGCTGCATTTGCATATTTTTTTTTTGCTGCTGCTGATGGTGCTACCTTGCTTCTGCCAGGATCTCCGAGAAATTGAAAGATTTAGCACCTGCTATGACTCCGCACGGCGGCAGAAGCATTTCAATTTAAAACGAACAAAGGAAAACGCTTACTTTGAGGGTTCCCGGCTTTCATCAATTTCACTTATCAGGCAATGTCAACACCATCGATTCCTTTCTCTGCCGCCTGCTTTCAGGAAAGTAAGCTTTGGAGGTCGAACTCTAAACGCACACTCCTTGAAACCTTGAGCATACACTCGATAGGACTTCACTTGCTATTGATTTATGCAAAGCCCAGGTTATAATTGCCTGCCAAAGGAGTGAATTGTTACAATGAAAAGGACACCGCCACGGGGGTCCTGTAGCTGTTCTTTCCCCCCTCAGCTGGAACTTACATTTCCATATGCGATATGAGATTACTTTATGGGGGAGTGGGAGAGCAATTCCCCCTAGTTGTGGCCACCAGAATTAGAACTGGGGTGGCGTCTACTTACCAGCCTTGCTATTTTGGTAGGCCATCATTCCAGGTTCCTCATGTGTGGTGTGCTGGGAAATGGTTATGGACATGCTTGGCATACTTTCGCAATCGCTTTCAATGCATTTTCGGCTGAGGTTCTGGCTGGGGGAGCGGGCTCCGCTCACTTTCACTTTGATTGATGTTGTTGCATGTGCAAATGACTGCGACGAGAGCGGAATGTATCTGGGTGCCTCATACACCATGCACCGTGGATGGTGCATCGTGCCTTGTGCACCACACCCTGCACCCGTCCTCCTTTTTTCGTCCCCAGATAAAACTTTGTCAAATGAGCACAACGTCACAAGCAAACAAGCCGTGGAGGGAGTCGTGGATGTATGTGATGGCAGGATGGTTATCCTGGCCAGTAGATTGCTCAATGGCTTGTGGTTGGAATTGGGACAGCGCTTTGACCCGTTGCTTTCATAGCTGTTGCTAACATGATGGCGGATAATCCTCACAAGCTTCTGAACACATTTGTATAACCAAGTGAAAATGAAAACTTCAGCTAGCTAACTGTTACATGCTCTTGCGGAAGTACTTTATGGCCCAACGAGATGTGAACCACAAGGTCTCCAACACCAAGCGATTTTTATTGATTAATTGTACGACAGCCACAGGATTCAGTATGGCGAGGACCCAAGAAATATAGAAGCTAGAGATTTGTATAAAAATCAATTATAAACTTTGTTTGGTAACCGCAACTAAGACAATAATAATTTTGGAGCCTGAATACCTCCAAGGTTTTCTGTCAAAGAGTTTTACCTAATAATATAATTGTCAGGACTCCCCGGCATTACAACTGTAATTGGTTTCAGATCCCTGAATCCCTTCCCAGGGAATTAAAGGTTTCTTTGCCGTAAACCCCCCTAAAATTGAAGTTGAAGCTCGAACGAAGTATACGAGCAGCCTCTCATATCTCGATAATAAAATCTCCATTTAATTAACTCGTTGTGTGCATTGAGTATTTCAGATACCGATACATATCCTTTTGCTTTCCTTTTGTGTTGTAGGCACATACACATACACATATTAAAAGATATTATCCTCATGTTTCGGGATGTGTACAATGTTCATAGGAGTGGCGTTTGTTCAAGTCCTTGCAAATATTTGTTGTCAGCTAAAATAATGGAGTTTCGAATGTTTGCCATTCGGGCTCATAAACATTTGTTTGCTTGAGGGAAATTTGAATGCCGCGGAAATCACTTCCCATGCCCTTAAAACGCTCAAAAGGACCAAATTAATTGTATATTTCGAGTCTACATGATGCAGAAACTGTTCGGTAAGTGCCTTCACTCGCCTCAATACATTCTCGCACTGGCGCTTCAATGAAAGAAATAAATATTTAAGTGTTTTTTAATTAAATGCGCTGAGTAATTGAAAGTGCAGTTCGCACTCTGAAGCGTTTTCGGTGGTGAATAAATACATATTTCGGTTGCGAAATAATACAATCGTTAAGCGAAACACTTAAAGATTTTCATGAATGGCCCAGATGGAGTATAATTCTTGGATTTAACTACGCTGCTGTATATGTAGAGTTAAAATATTCAAGACTTATAATGCAGGAAATGGCTTTCATTCCATCCTGTTTCTTAAAATCCAACCTCTCAAATGGATAAAAACCTGATTAGCCAACAAACCTACTTTCGGCATTTTCTGAAATCCACCAGCATGACAAATGGAATGGCAATTATCGGAAACTATGCTTAAAAAAAGAATGAATGGAGAAATGAAGGCAAGGCATAAAAAAGGAGTTCTTGCCACGACCTCAGCTTCAGCCTCAGCCAGGACATCAGCCAAACAAAAACAGGACGAGGGGCAAACGAGGCGAAAGAGTGCAAATAAAACAACTCCCAGGCGCATTAATTAAAAAGCAGCAGACAAAGCGAGGCTCAGATTAATTGGCGTCAATGGGAGAAAGACAGCGGCAGTAAAGGAAGCTCAGATAAGGGCCAAGACACAGGACTCGGCACAGGGATATGGCGGTGGGCTAGGGCGGAGGAAGTGATTAAGTAGGCGCAGGACGCGGCGCGGGTAGGAGGATCTGAGTGAATATCAACGGATATCAGCGGAAAATGAGTAATGAAGTCGAGATGGGGCAGCCATTTTTTATGCATACAGGACAATGAGAAACTAGGCCTTTTATGGGTGTATGAGTGTATGGGTATACGAGTGTACAAGTGTGTATGGCAATGTGCGTGGGGAATGCGCGCCGCGTTTTATGCTACATTTTCAGCCGGCTTCGAGTTGGTTTCTTTTTTAAATTCCCCAAACGTTGTTGGGTTTTGCCATGTCAATGAACCGACTCCAGCTCCGGCTCCGACCACGGCCTGTGTATTCTCTTCGAGCCAGTGTGTGCTTTCGCCGTGCATATGCAAATTTCCGCATACCGAAAGTTGTCTTTGGTCGAAGGCGGCGGCGCGAAAAAAAATAACAAAAATGCCAAAGCGAGGGTAAATAAAAACTTCTGGGTTGTAATAATTTTGCCGTTTGCTTTTTCCGCTCATTTAAAATTCCACAACTGCCGCTCGCAGCCACCATTTATTTATACACACACACATGTACCACATATATATAATTATATAGCCATATATTCTTTTTTGACACTTCCAAAGGAGCATATGTACATCCAGACATACACACCTTGCCACGCACACTATTTGAATGCGAATAAGCTTCGTTTCAGTGCTGGCTCCTTCACAGAAAAGAAAAACATCAGAAAAATACCAAAGGCTCGGCCAGGCCACTGCTCTTTTTGAATGTTTTTTTCATTCACTCATTGCTTTTCAGGATGCAATAACAACCTCTGAGCAAAACAGTCGCCATCAGCCATAATGTGCATACTTCTATATGCATTACGTCTGGTCCTGCTCAAGTCTCATTATATTTTGATACTCTTCTAAATCCTTATATAATACATGTGCTTAGAGTGGAGCCTACAAACTATTTATCGTTTTATTTTCAGATTATGAAGACATTTAATTGAGTACTAGTCTTAATGCTCATTCTCCATATTCAATTAGAAACCAATTCATTTATCTACAAAGTGTACTTACACATTCGACTAAGTCGAGTCTGAAGACTTTAATTAAGTCTACCTTTTCACAGTCTTTTCATAGAAAACTATAATTATGTAAGACCTTTTCATTTCCACTGAAATGTGAACTATAATGCCTAACCGAAAAGCTGAACTGGAGTTGCTTAATAAAATGTCCTACAGAAATACAACTCTTACTGTAAATTATTCAAAAAAATATTATAGAAACCTTAAAATACATTTAATATTTTTAAAATGTTCTCCTTAATTACCACGGCCACTTAAAATAAAAAAAAACAAGAAAGGAAAACTAACTTCGGGCGGAGCCGATGTTGATATACCCTTGCAGTTAAGACCGGATATATATCGCAAACATCGGATATAGTTGGCCGATCCTTATGAGAATATGATAATATAAGCCAATTTATTATAATACAAAATTTAAAACAAGTCCCAAACTTCTATCTTCAAAAATACCAAAGTTGGCATTTCTACCAAAAACCATATCCGATCGTTCAGTTATATGGCAGCTATAAGATATAGTCGGCCGATCGTTATGAAATTTAGCATGTCGTATTATTTTGCCAAAAATAGCGCTCGTGTAAAATTTGAACTCTCTAACTTTAAAAACACTGAAGTTATACCATTTCCGATCAATCAGTTATATGGCAGCTATAGGATATAGTCGGCCGATCCGAGCCGTTCCGACTTATATACTGCGTGCAAAGGAAAGAAGGGTGTGTGCAAAGTTTGAAGTCGATAGCTTTAAAACTGAGAGACTAGTTCGCGTAGAAACAGACAGACAGACGGACAGACGGACAGACGCACAGACGGACCGACGGACAGACGGACAGACGGACATGCTCATATCAACTCAGGAGGTGATCCTGATCAAGAATATATATACTTTATAGGGTCGGAGATGTCTCCTTCACTGCGTTGCACACTTTTGACCAAAATTATAATACCCTCTGCAAGGGTATAATGAATTCCATCACTGACGACTAAAAGACTAAAAGGACTCTCTCGGAAGTCTAAGGCAGCCAAATTGGAAGGCGTCAACAAAAACTCAATTTCAAAAACGGAATTTTATTATGTCGCTTTTGGAGGAATTTTGCTAGCCATCCGCAATCCTGCAACCCGGTACCCCTTTCCATCCACTGCTGACTGGCAAAAACGAGCCATGGCACACTTTTTAGCGTCAGGCATTTGTTTTCTGCGGCGGTCGCAGTCGCAAAGTGCTCGCAAAGATATAAGTATGCACGGGAGTGTGGGAGTGGGGCGAGGAGATAGATAGCTGGCCGAAATGGACTCTGCTGCAGTCAAGTGCAATAATGTAATGGCTATATTTAGCCAGGCCCTCACACACACCCGCCCACATAGCGAGACACGGACACGTTCCATGTTTGCTTTTCCACTGCGTTATGACCGAAATATTACCAAGTCCTGCCACGTCGCTCCTTTACAGCGTTATATTTGCAGGATGCTTCGATTTTGTTAGAGACCACACCCCATCCTCCCATCCCGATGGACACCAGAAACCATATTGACATCGAACTGGTCTGGTCGGGAGGAGCCTTTGGGCTTTTGGCTATACTCTGGGCAAGGCAGCTCCATTTCATTTCCACCGCATTCCTGTCGCATATTCGGGCCCATTTGGTGATTGCACTCTGGCCAACTGACTAACAGAATATGCTTTCTGAAAATATTTTTGCGATGCGATCCCCGGAATGCCGAATCATTGCCAATCCCTTTCTGTGGGCCTTGACTCTCTTTGTTAGTTAAGCGCGAGAGATTTGGATTTTGGCAGTTGTTTTCATTTTCCAGGCGTGTTTTGGTTTCACTCTTTTTTGTTGTTTCAGGCCGAGTGGACCATGAATATTTCAGTCTTTTAATTGTAAATTACACATACGCCCTGTGTGCGGCTGTTGAATTTTTTAGTACCAGTTTTTTGGCCCTGGATTCATTGTAATGCGCGGATTCGGGGATTCGGTTATTGGGTTGCATCCTTTGGGACCGTCAGCTGTGGTGCATTTCAAAAATTTAACTCGCTTGATGAAAGCCCGCATGGTCAGAAAGTTTTTTCACTTAAAGACTATATTGATGTACTTCTGAAAGTATTGTATGCACAAAAAAATATCCATAAGACTTAAATCAAGTTAAAGAATGGAACCTTAGCTTTTGTATTTAAAATTTCTCTTCCATAAAAACTTTCAAGAGGAACAAAAGCTGGAATAATCCTTTAAATACCAAAGAAATGTGTTTTAAAAAGTCCTCTTAAGCTTTTAATCCTTAATTCATAGTTATACATCACTTTATTATTTTCTATGCTTGATGTATACTTTACCGGGTACTAAGATTAGAAATGTTTTAAACTTTTTAATTTACCAGCAAAAAAATGTAGAATTGGTGATTTAAAGCTTTTCATGGGAAAATAATCTTCATATCCGGTCCACAAACATCCCAAAAAGTTAGTTCGTTTTTCAATTGAATTTTTTGCCCCACATGAGTGAGTAACCAACCAATTCCCACCGCAGCTCGCATCCGCTGCGGCAGGAAATACTTTATAAAATAAACTTTCATGACGGACTCTCAGTCAAACCCAGTTCACTCTATGAATAAAGTTATATGCTTCCTGGGTTTTTTCTATGTTAATTATTAATACTTGATTCCCCACGACGTGTGTAATTAACATCCTGTTTGGGATGGCGTTCTGTTTCTTTTTTTCAGGACGAGAAAAATCAATTGCTGGTCACGAATGTGTGGCTGAAACTGGAGTGGAACGACATGAATCTGCGCTGGAACACCTCGGACTATGGCGGCGTTAAGGATCTGCGCATCCCGCCGCACCGCATCTGGAAGCCGGACGTACTGATGTACAACAGTGCGGATGAGGGATTCGACGGGACATACCAGACCAACGTGGTGGTGCGGAACAACGGGTCCTGCCTATATGTGCCACCCGGTATCTTCAAGTCGACCTGCAAGATCGACATCACGTGGTTCCCCTTCGACGACCAGCGGTGCGAGATGAAGTTCGGCAGCTGGACCTACGACGGATTCCAGGTTTGATTCAGTCTCCCGCGCAAGCAAGGCAACCAGGAAGTACTCTCTTGAAGAACTCGTAGTTGTTATGCTTGACCAATCCGATAATTCGAGATTATTATCATACCATATGTACTATATTTTTATAAAGCTTTATGATTTCCCTCATTTACCGTTTTGCATTGATTCGATGCGAGTGAGATATTTACATTATTCTCCCCTCTCCCCGAATATCGTATAAAAAGCTGGATTTACAATTACAAGATGAAACTGGCGGTGATATCAGCAGTTACGTGCTCAACGGCGAGTGGGAACTACTGGGTGAGTAAGCCAACGTCCTCCTGTAGGAGCGACACCCTTCCTCTATATCAAATACTTCCAAAAACACCCAAACTCAGACTCTGAGCAATCGTTCTCACGTTCTTCAGATTCAGATTCAGACAGATAAAAATTGAGATATAACTCAGTACATGCTCCCGATTCCGATTCCGATTCCGATACCAATTCTGTGTGTGTGGCGTGGAAGCTTATACATATTCTCCGCTGGCTCCGCTATAAAAAAAAAGGAACTTTCTTCTATCCATTTTTCAAGGAGTTGTCCGTCCGACTTGCGTCTGATTTATGGCGTACTCGTCCACGCAAACAGACACACTCACAAATATTTTTCATATCTCCTACTCTCTATCTCTATAACTTACTCTATTCACTCCCGAGCAGGGTTCAAGCTGCGAACTAAAGTTCCGAACTCGTTCCGTTCGAAACTCCGACTGTGTTGCTCATCGATATGTGATTGAAACCAAGACATCGCCCACTTTCAATCACCTAATGATGACAAATATACATCACTGCTTTTTGACACTCTCCACCGTTCAATCGTTTGTCCAATCAAAATCTGATCAAAATCTTAAATTCGAGGTCAATGAATACGGAATGAAGTAAGGCACTCTCTGAACCCTGTTGTTATTCCACCCAAGTATACGCTACAATTTCTTAACTTCTTTCGTACTTCACCCGACTTAACCCACGCTTAACCAGTGTTCTCCCACTCACTCTACTTTCAAAACAATTTCTGTTTACAACAAGACTATCTCAAAATTTTTGGGCGCTTTAACTTTTCAAGTCCGAAATAGCCGCGTAAACGTTTCGTTTGCCCTCAGCCAAGCTCCGCTTGGAGGAGCATAACTTTAGGTTTCGAAAACAACCTAAATATGCTGCTTCAATGCGGACATAATAAGTATTGTTGCACTGACAAAGAGGTAAGGCCCGGCCCTGGTTTGCAATTCTTTTAGATTATTTTTCGTTCCTGGAATCTCTACGTAATTATCATATTTTAAGCATTAATCGAGGCATGTGGCAAGCTTGTACGATAAGAATAAACACGAATGCCGATTAGAAAATGCTTAAGTGCTGTACATAACCAGTATATAATTGCGTTTTACCAAAACAGGCCAAGACAAATGAGTATTTTGCTTAATAGAGTATCCAAACGATAAGATGGAAAGAAGACAGCATCTGTAAATACCACATAATTATTAGAGAAAAGCAACCATACTATAACTAATTAGGAAAAAGCTTTAAATTCCCCAATACTGGTAGTTCTCAATTAAAGCCTTGATTGCGGAATCCTCAGCCACTCCCTAATTTTAGAAAGCCATTCATATTCTATCCGAAAAGTTGCTGCAAGTTGAATAGGTTCCAAATAGGAGTTGCGCTCTTTAGCTGGCTATAGAAACGTGCCCTAGAACCAATTAAGAAATTAAAAGACAAATAGTCCTGCATCCTCTCACGTATATGCACTATAAATTAGTGCCCATACAGACACAGAAAGTTTTCAACTCGACACTGGCCACAGAAGTGGAAAAGAAAAATGCTGAGCAACAAATTTTAATTTTATTCGCCGAGTTCTTTTGTTGCTCCTTTATGGAGGTATTTGGATTTTTCTTTGCATTCAAGTTAGTTTTAATTTTGGGTTTAATGTTTTGGGGTTGTTTTTTTAGGGGTAATTTTTGTGAAGTTCTGCAAAGTTTTTCGGCGGTTTTTTGCATCTGTTCTTTATACTTGCTATTCTTTATTTTCGATGCGCATTTGCGGTTTTTTGTGCTCCACCAGCTTATGCAAATTATTTTGAGTTACCAAAGTGCTGCCAGATATTTGTTGCCGGAGACTAGACCGGGAGGACTAGACCGGGCACAAAAGTAGCTAGGTCATTTTTAAATACGCAGCCGAGGCGTTTTGTTCGCAGTCTCCTTCCCTAGTAATCCCTTTGGTAATCTTGAAGTAAGTTGGGCAGATAATTTAGCCGGGAGTTTAGTTGTCGCCCACTGCCGCCTCTCTTTTGGGCATATGGTGAATGCTTTTGGCCAAAAGTTTTTATTGCGAATATGTTAGCAAACAAGCAAACTCCGGAAGCAAAGGAGGGGAAAAAGCAATTAAGAGGCTGAAGTTGTCAACAGTAAGGGTTCCATGGTTTTTGAATCATTTTAAATCGAGAGGAAAGTTTTTAGAGGAAGCAGCCAAGCAGAAACTTTCAAACTGCAAGGATGTAAGGAAGAGAATGGCTACAAACAGCTCAGTTTAAGGCCTTTCATCAATTACTCTAGTAGGCACGACTAATTATAATAATCTTACATTATAACTTTGATTATTTCGATTAAAGTTAACCAAAAACACACAAAGAAACACTGAGACTCTCTGTACAACACTCTACACGAAACTTATTTTCTCAGATTTAACATTCTTTTGCATTCGAAAATATTCCGCAAGGAAATTCTTATCTCTAAGTTACTTTTCTACTACGTATTTACATTTGGAAAGCAAGTGCATAAAACTTTTCCCATAGTAACTGCTCGGCTTCACTCTGCTCTGCTCGTACTTAACTTTACTTACAATTAGTTGCCTAGACAAATACAACTCTTTCCGAAACTAAGTTCACACTCAACTAAACCCGAAACACCGACCCAAAAACATTCCCCGGCATGCACACCCACACTGCACACACTTCTCTGCATATCCACAGCAACACACACGTCTATGAACATCCAAGAACTGTAAATGGCAATCAAGCTTCAAGTACAACACCACACTCCACTCTAGACTTTGATCTCCTCTGCTCTATTACCATATACGCTTTTAACCAATGATCTGCTCTACTCTACTCTACTATACTCTACTATACTCTATACCTTGCTCAACTCTTGTAAAAAGCTCAAGACAGATGCTCAATGCTCAGACCAAGTCCTAAGTAAAGACCGCCACAGATACATATCTGAAGAATACATATTACAGATACCGATTTTGAGTAAGCGTGTGCCGTGTAATAACTAATTGTGTATGGTTGAACAATCGCAGGTGTGCCTGGCAAACGTAACGAAATCTATTACAACTGCTGCCCGGAGCCCTATATAGATATCACTTTTGCCATCATCATTCGCCGACGGACGCTCTACTATTTCTTCAACCTGATCATTCCTTGTGTGCTGATTGCCTCGATGGCCCTGCTGGGATTCACCCTGCCACCGGATTCGGGTGAAAAATTATCGCTGGGTAAGTAGGCCGGGCATCGAGGGTCTCCCCCGGGCACCTACTGCCACTAACTAGGAAAGGGATAGGGCAACATTAATTTGAAACCACTTACGCAACACAAATACTCAACGAAACTTAAGGGGGGACCACACATGCAAACATCTCAAGAGCCGCTTCGAAAAGTATTTGCCAAGTACTTTTTAAATAATGACAGCCTCGTCGGCGGAGCAGGCTGCGAATTTCAAATTAGATGCCTTTCATAATGCTGTTGATGAGCGCTCCAAGGACCTTGCCCATGACTATCCGACTTACTGACTACCAGACTGGCTGACTAGCTGACGCAGCACATTACCAGTTATGGCCAAACGCCCTGGCCACCCGCTCCGATGGCTCTTGCCGCTGATGATGACGCCACAGTCTCCGTTTCGCTGGTAAACAAACTATTGAACTTTTAATGCCACCCTGGCTGAGTAGTAAAAAGTGTTCAACGAGCCGGGCGTAAGGAATGCTCCTGCCGACTCGAAATGTGCTGTCAATCGCCCGCTCAGGGAACATTAGTGGGGTGGAAAATCAGTGAGGACCGACGGTGGCGATGGCCGAGTACACAAAACTGAAATAGAAATAAATGGCTGGGAAGTGGGTGTTGCAAAGTGCACAGTATTAACAGCTTAGGGTCGCAGGCGCTTCAAGGACACTCTAGAATTCCTTGACTGATGTCAGCCACGAGGAAATTCGAGTTATTTAGCTTGGACGAGTTACAAGACGCAAACGGATGGTTAGCTCTAAATCAAGAAGAACCCCTTACTTTAAGCCAAAAAAGAGACAAAAGTACGTCACGGGTTGGACCGGACTTCTGTTCTATGTGATATTTAAATAAACATCTCCCCGTTTGACATCCAGGTGTTACCATCCTGCTCTCCTTGACCGTGTTTCTAAATATGGTTGCCGAGACAATGCCGGCCACTTCCGACGCAGTGCCATTATTGGGTAAGATCATTTTGTTTACCAGTAGTAGTCGATGGTAGAGCTTCTAGTAAATGTATATCATGTTATCGCTGTCTACTTATTGCGTTTGAGTTTTTAATGCAATCCATTAAGCTAAACATCCATACTTAAATAAACTATACTTACATTCTTGTTTATGAATAACTTTCAAGTGCCGTTGCATATTCATTACATAGATCCATGCATTTCTAAAATGATTTTAAAGTCCGAAATAAAATCCGATGATTTTATAATATTAAAACCTTGACACACAATTAAAATTAAAAGATATCAAATTGATTTAAAGCATTGCTACTTAAATATACGTTTCCTTGGACGTCAAAGTCAAGCCTACCATAAAATCATTGACTTTGAGGTCTTACAGGAAAGTAAAAGCTGATGCTGCAAAAAGTTAAACTAATTCGTAGAGAAAGAAAACTGTCTAACCGAGTAACCAAAAGGGCATAAAAATGTTGATAACAAACCTTTAATGTTTTACCAAAGACCATTTAATAAAGTAAATACTCTATATATATATAATCTGATCTTTAAATATCCAAAAACTGATCGATATATAAAAATAACACGAGTTGGTTTGAAAAATGCACACATTTGACAACGAGTTTCTTGCACGCTCTAAGTATTTTTTTATTTCGGTTGTCGAATAAAATTTGGTAAAAATCGTAAGTAAAGCTGTTCAAAATAAAGAATAAATTGGCTTCAAATTTGTAAGAAAAATATAAAAACCTAATTTCAAAAACTTTAAAGAGAACTGCTCTACTATATAATATTGAAGAAAAAAAACGACAACCAATTAAAATATTTTTCATAATTTTGTTTACAAAATTATACAATCTTCGATTCGAATATATTTTATTCAAAAAGTGCATACGAAATTGCTATTATATTTTTAAATTTCTGATTCTACGTACACTTTTCGGTGTCTAACTTCTATATATACAATAACCTATTCCTAAAATATACAAGCTAAAGTTAAAATCGTGTGTGTGTGATTTAAAAACAAGATGTAAACCTAAACGTATTCTTCTCGACAATAACATTTGCTATGCCTTTTAAAACCAACAAAACCAAAATAAGATGCTAACAATCGACAATTCTGCATTAATGTACTAACTAAAATATTTTGTACATATTTCTTGCCTTTTTTCTTTCTTTCAAACAAACTATGTACCTTCTGCAAAATTATATGTGCTCTTAAAATTCATATAATCCAATCAAACCAAACAAACACTCTGAATGAACTCTGAAATATGCGTTGCCCCGAACGAACCAATACAATCAATATCGACTACTGCCAACCCAACTTAAAAACAATAAAACTAATCAATTATCACTTGCACCACAACAACAAAAACCCAAAACAAAAACAATCACAATCTATTTACACACCCAACGAAATGAATATATATATGAATACTTATATATATTGCTGACACGCCCAACCAACCAACAGGTACATATTTCAATTGCATAATGTTTATGGTAGCTTCATCCGTTGTGTCAACGATTTTAATATTAAATTATCATCATCGAAATGCTGATACGCACGAAATGTCCGAATGGGTAAGTTTCAAATAGGTCAACCCACCATCCATTCCAAAAAAAACCAACAGCAACCAACAAAACTCTATCCAACCAACTAAAAACAAAATACTGAAATAAGAAACAACTGCAAGAGCGACCATCACTCATCATTTATAGCTTCAGCTAGTTCTCAGTGGTCACAGGACTGCAGCCTCAGAGGGAGTGTCCTTTTTGCTTCCTTCATTCGTTGCTCTGCCACAATTGCACCAAAAATATAGAAAAAAAAGAGTATTGTACACAGGGCACTGGACGATCCCCCAGATCCCTCGACTGCTGCGGGCTTTGTGACCACTGTCGCATAGAATTAGCATTTTTATATGATTTATCTCAAACAAAAGCGAAAAAAAATGACGAAATTTTATGCGAGAGCCATGCAAATATAATTTATGTGTTAGCTAGAGAAATGTTTTGTGTTAGCTATTACCACATTGTTTAGTTACTGGTTGTACTTGTGTTGTACTCCTCTGTTGTAAACCAACCCCCCTCTAAAATCCAAATTTCTAAGCCAATACTAAATTCTATTCAGCAATTTTAAATGCATTTTATGAAGCTCATAAAATGTGATTAAAATTGAGCCGATATCAAATTCTCTGCATAAAACGGTTACCGAGGTGCTCTGAGGAGACTTAAAAATTCTAAATCGAAATTCGGTTGAGACTCAAACACAAGAAATATTTAATATTCTAATTCATAAAACCAGATCAGACCACTTAAAGCACCTATAGACCGTAGAATGCTATAAAACTGAAAATTTTAAATGAATTATAAAAAACGTATTTGCAAATAGTTGCACAAATAAATGTTGTTGCTTAGTATTATTTAATGGTTATTATTGCTGATGTGTCGTGCATTTATGTTTTATACACAGTCCTCCGTTTAGTTTTTATATTGGTTTCGATAGTTTTTGATGCCTACTTAGAGGCGTTTATGCAATTTGCCGCCGCAATTTGATTTTACCCCTCTTGATTTCGTTAGAATGACCTACTATACATATATATATATATCTGCTATTCGGCTGAAAAGCAAAGCTAAGGCAAAAACTACAAATAAATGTCAGTTGAGTTGAATTTGTGTGTGACCCAAAAACGTAAATCAAAAGAACGTAATGCTCGTATAACGATGTGCAAAAGCGAAATGCAGAGGAGGGAGCGAAAGCCAGTGCCGAGCCGAAATGTGACGGACGGATGTACAGAGTACCAAATGAATGTTGTAACCATCCAACATGTCTAGCTACTATACGTGTCTACTATAAAATAATTTATGTAATGAAAAATATCGTAATGTTGATGTTGGGCCCATATTTTGTACTTACTATATGTGAATGTAAGCCACAACCTCGATCCCAGCAAGACACCCCAACTATCACCCAACTAACCAGTCCCAGTCCTTTTTTGCTTGTAACTCTGTCACCAGTTGCACACCCGCTTTTGTATCTGCATCATTATCCCCGTGTACCTGCAAAAGGACCAACAAATATCTAAAAGATGCCAACGTCACAACTGCAGTCAAAATATGCATTTTGTTATGTGATGCACTGGTGTACGAGGTCCTGTAAGCGGTATTCCTGTCTGTATTTGTCTCTCAATCTATCTTTTTTCTCTATAAATTATGTATTTACTCTGTACATAGTGTCTATATATGTGTGTTACGAAAGATTATTGGATGTTGTGTGTAATTTTGTATAACGTTCTTGGTCTACAAGGATTGCGCAATTAGAATAAGTGTGGGTCCTGGAAGGTGCTTTTAAATTTGGATAAAGGCAGTGAATCTCTTACGGGGGGTTATCTTACTCAATGTATTGCTGTGGCAGTTTGTGAAATGCAATGAATAGTAGCCTTTAAGCAACTTTTTTTTAAAAATAAGCTTTCTTTTCTGCCTGTTCATATCAATAACGAAAGACATGACTTTATAGCCTTCTTCATAAGTCTGTCACGGGACTGCTTTCAAGTGGAAAGCAATTTCTACACATTATTGCAATTGCCTCGAAGTGCATAATGAAAAGTTCCGCTAGACGAGACCCAGAAAAGTAAGAGGAAATCGGGAATAAGGGCAGCTCAGTCGAAGTCGATTGGCTTTTAAGAGCTCACTCGCATGAAAAGTTTTGTATGGGTTTCGCGTAAGAATGCGAACGGGCAGGGTACTCCCATTCAGCACTCCATGCCGCCATACAATTGAATTTGGAACACATGAAGGAAAAACCAAAACGAGAAATCAAGCACACAAAGTAACCGAAGGCCCTCCGCAAGGATCTGGCCGGAGGGGGCAAGGTGCCTGACAGTTGCCCCAGTTGTGAGTTGTCCTGACATGGCACCGAAAATTGAGCCAATTGGGCGGGCAGGTGCATTAGAAATGTGCATGCACAAGAAGTCCTTCTACGACTTTCTCGACTGTCGCCTGGCACTTGAATTGGTCCCAGAGACCTCCGTTCTCCGTCCGCTACCGCCAAAACAGTCAGAGCTCGAGCCAAAGCCACAGCGAGTTCGGCCCGCCTGGTCCCGCGTTTCTGTGTGATAACAACAAATCAATTTGCTCAAAATTTGCACAAAGAAGAGGGGCGGCATTGATATGGATATGGCAAATGCCAGTTTCTCCATTGCAATGGTTAACTTTGCATTTAGTTTGCATGCCACGTCCTGAAGCGCATTTCCATGTAAGCTTCTCGCTTGTTAGCCAAAAAAAGAAAACCGCCAACAAGGAGTGGAGCTGAGCAACATGATAGAGGAGGCAACCGTCCAGGCCAGCAGGACGAAGGACGAAGGCAACAGTGGGAGTAGGGCTGGGAAGGGGGGCTTGTGGCGAGGGAGGTGCATGGACAACGACAGTTTCACACAAAGTGCAAGCGGGGTTGTCAACTAAGAGCGTCGGTTTTTCAGCTCCTCAACGGGAGCTGGGGCGGGATAAGCTGCAGGATTCGTGGGGGGGGCGGAGAGGATCGAAACACATCCTGACTATCGATTGGCGTTTTTTGTGTCCTGGGGGATTTTTTCGTGGCAGCTTTTGCATTCTCTTCGAGGACTCGTCCATTTAACCAGTTTACTAGTCTAACCCGTTTTCTAGTTACCAGATGGGAAAAATGGAATTACGGCTGCGGTCATTGCGTTAAAAAAGTTCTTAAAGTTAGATAGAAAACTACTTGATATAAAAGGGAACTTAAGGCGGACTAAATAATAATTTTATCTTTAAAATATTGGTTCTCAAATCTTTCCACTTTAAATAAAAAACGGAATCCTTAAAAATTGAAATATGGGAAATAAGTCAAGGGTCAACTCGGTTTCGGCGTGAAAAGCTTCAGGGGGATTGTTTGCGGCTCAAGGGCTTTGGGCCAACTACTGCCATCTCAGCGATGTTTGTTATTTTTGTTAATACTATGTAGTCTTGTGTCTGTGTGTTTGTGTTCCGTGTTCCATGTTCCTTATGTGTACATATATCTGTGTTTGTACAGTAGATCATAAATTTTGCATGCACCATAGCTATAAATAAGCAGAGACCATGGCGAAAATCTAACACACTCCATCTCCCATGCTCTAAAACACAAATAAACGAATAAATATTATTATAGCTAAGTGTAATAACAAATCACCCAGCATACCGACTAAAATTCACCCTCGGAGAGCACCAACATGTTGCTCGCCTTCGAGAGCGGTGCTGCTTTAGTTGTAATCAAAATCGAATATAAATCATACTTGTGGCCATCTGTCTGTGTGTTGGTATCTGTTCATGCAAAATAGCCATAAATCGTGAAACGCCCGGTTGAGGTTTTCACACATTGTTGGCAAAAATACTCACACACACCCAGAAAGGGACACCCACAACACGAACCTTAAACACACGCAATTGGAGCTTACAGACACACACACACAAACATTGAATTTTATTTTTGATTTCATTATTTTCTTGGGCTCCTGCCACTAAACGTTTCAATCTCGCCACCTGCCGTTAGATACGCATCGTGTTTCTATGCTGGCTGCCATGGATACTGCGAATGAGCCGGCCGGGAAGGCCACTGATCCTGGAGTTCCCGACCACGCCCTGCTCGGACACATCTTCCGAACGCAAACATCAGATACTCTCCGATGTTGAGCTGAAAGAGCGGTATTTAGCCACCGATTTATGGTCCGAGAACTAAATCAGATCTTGTCAAATCAGACCTTTTAATAAAAAAAATAGACCTTAGCGATAATGTAACTCTTTCTCGAAAGATCTGATTTTTTTCTCCGGTCTCTCAAGGTTTTTGCTTTTGCCGAAACAACAACTGGAATTATTCACGAATGCGAAAGCAGGAACAGGAAAAATTATTCATTGTATTCATGGGTACTAACTGACTTTACTACCCCGATTCAAGCTCATCCAAGTCCCTGTTGGCCAATGTTCTGGACATCGATGATGATTTCCGTCACAATTGTCGCCCCATGACGCCCGGCGGAACACTGCCCCACAACCCAGCTTTCTATCGCACGGTTTATGGGTAACGAGTCGCAATTGGCCCTTGGGCTATCATAGGGTTAACTGGAACTTGTTATTCACGTCCTTTACCGTTTCCAACCACTTGCAGACAAGGCGACGATGGCAGCATTGGACCTATTGGCAGCACCCGAATGCCAGATGCGGTCACCCATCACACGTGCATCAAATCATCAACAGAATATGAACTAGGCTTAATCCTGAAGGAAATTCGCTTTATAACTGATCAGGTAGGTTGGAGCATTTGAGTTCTTATTTAGTGGAACCCATTCAATTATATAACAAATATAATAACATGTGAATTGAACTTTAAACAAGTCACGTTGCATGCTTTAGCACTCCAAGTACATATATTAAGCAACAGATTTTAATTGTTTGCCTCCTCTTTTTCTCTCCAATTTAACCCTCTCTATCTCTTTGAATATTGACAATAACCCAACCCATCAAATGAATTGAATAAACAGCTACGTAAAGATGACGAGTGCAATGACATTGCCAATGATTGGAAATTTGCAGCTATGGTCGTTGACAGACTGTGCCTTATCATATTCACAATGTTCACAATATTAGCCACAATAGCTGTACTACTATCAGCACCACATATTATTGTCTCGTAGCCATATGGGCGAGGTGGTTATTGTTATTGGTTTTATTATAAAATCAATTTGTTAATTATTAAATTAATAACGAAACTGTTTAAGTAAATGAAAACAACCAAAAAAAAAACAAAAAAAACTTTATAAAACCCTCACAAAAAAATAGTAAAACTCATAATATAAAAACTTTTTGACTAAATAATACAACTAAAAAAAAAAACAAAAACAAAAAACTAAACAAAAAAATTAAAAGAAGTTTAAAATTTGTCTCTAAAACACACAATAATTTAAATATATAACTCTCCTTAAAATGTCTTTCATAAAATCAAACATACACTGAAAGAGACTTAAACATCATATACTAAATCATTCAAGCTAACTAATTCCAATTTTCCTAAAAATAAAAAAAAAAACATCTAAACAAAAATTAAACAAAAAACCCCCAAGCTTTGCCCCAAAATCCCAAAAAAACTCACTCTCCTCCCCACAATCCATTAGCTATGTTTCTTCTACTGAACATACATATATATACAAATATATATGTTTGACAAACATGCAAAACGGGTATATTTTCTTTTTAAAATTTTATATTTTATAGGATAAGTGAGAAGTTTTCAAAAATAGACAGACGGATTTTCGAAACTTTTTTTTTTGACATACTTCTAAGCGAAGTGCAGTATTTTTATGGCAACAAACACCTGTCAAACAGCCAGATCTTTAGTTTGAGAGCTTTATAGTGAAACAATGTAGTTGAGAAATTTCCAAGATTTATATGATAAAATGACATCCCAACGTTTTTGGATCTGAAAATGAATAATTGAATTTGTAACCCTCTTGAGAGTTGAAGTGAGTCCAGGGATTTGTTCCAAGCCGTTTTTGCTACGATTAGTACCTAGAACAATTAAGAGATTCCACGATATTCCCTCTCTAGACAGAACTGCATTTCCAAACACACAGAACCAATTGACCCAACATATCCTCTACTGACTACATCTAGTTCCCTTTCCCAAACTTAATTTCATTTAAATACGTATCATAAATCCAAAACCAAAGCGAAAACCTAAAAATATCCCAAAACCCTGTAAGCTTACCAAAACCAATAGAATAACCAATCTAAATTGGAATTACAAACGATCAAAGAATTACTATATGATGGAAAAAATAGTGATGGAGAATAATGAAAATTGAATTGAAATTAAAATTGAAAGAATACAATTAACTATTTAACGGGAAGGCAGAGTAAATGAGCCCAGAATTGCGTTGGTAAATGAAATGTTTCCGAAGGACCGCATTTCATTCTAACTGACGTAGCACGAGACAAAGGAATTTTGAAATTTGAATGGTTGCGAGCAATAATATCTGCGTGTTGATGAATTGCATGATTTTTTGGTGATGCAAACGATGATCGAACGAGCTATTGCACGACGGCCTCGACGGCGGGCAAGAGCTCGCTCCTTCAACGCATTGAGAACAGCGATCCTATATACAGTCTAACTTTCGGTATTGATTTCACTCGTTTTGTAATTTGTTTTAGCTATCGAAATGCGAATACTCAAAGTTATAACACTGTAAGACCAGAAAGCAATTCACCACAGATCACAAACAATCGATCGAGGGAAAGACAAACAATTACTCGATATTTACCAATAACAATGAACATCACAAGACCCTGTAACACATGACATGCCGGTGCATGGGTAATTATGTGCTTGCTTAAGTATAGAGTGCACAAAACATACTAGATCACAGACCACAACAACCAAAACATATAAACCAAGGAGCTTTATACAGATATATACTATATGTACATATATATGATCGAGTTGAGCCAGACCCGAAAAACTCAACTTTTCGTATATCTGTAACCCACAAAATCCACACAAACACTCGAGTCCAGACAGAAAGTACGACTATTGTTCTATACAAGGATATTATCTTGCAGTATGTTACTGTCCGCTAACTTTCCAAGCACACAATTTCTGCCACAAAACAAGAGATACAAGCACTAAAAATCTTAAAAATTACCACTGCCTGGGAAATGAACACGGAAGTGTATGGGACCAGATGGAGTATTCAGTTCGAAGAAGAGCCGTCTAGCAGTATGATTTTTGTCGATAGGCGACCCAAGTGCTCCACTTAGTCCTTGAAATACTTCTCTAAACAGATCCCTACGGCGAAAAATATTAAAGACAGCAATACCTACTTTGACAAATTTCACACTAACTTTTCTTTCCACGTCGAAGCAAAGAAAACGTTCGAAATGAAATTAGCTTTATAATTTTTAAGTTACAGTTATTCTGCTTCTAATTGTAAATCTTGTGCAATGTAAACAATCAGAATTTTTCTTTGAATATAAACAAAATGAACAACCAATACATAAGCAATCGAACATATAGATCACAGTAAAGAATAAAAATATGTCAAAAATAAATACGGATTAACGGAAGGTAATGGAAAGGTACGATTAGTAAATAACTATGTCATTCAAATTAGACTAGGCTACACAAGAAATACCATAAACTGTATGTATTTGAGGACTCTCCCTGCAGAGCTATCAGAAATCGATTGGACATGTTTGCAATAGTCTTACACACGAGATCATTAAATATATTGGGAACGACAAGCAAATCGAAAAACCGATAAAGAATATTGAAAGTTTTTTTTTTTAGTTTTGTTAATTTCTCTAGCTTAAAAATAAACTCAGAGATTTTGTATGACAAACTGTACAAATTTCTGATTAAACTTACTACATTTTTGGGTTGATTTATTTTAGAATGGCTTGAATTAGTATAAATAAGATTTAGCTTTTGATAAACGATTGAAAGTGTAAAATAATATGAGAACTTGAAATATTTTGAAAGGTGAAATTCTTTTTAAATTTTGTTGAATGCCCACAAAGGCAGTAAGAGCAGGTGGGGTTTTTTCTTAATCTTTTGATAAAAATATTTTTTATTTTTTATACTTTTCCAATACTTACGAATGTCAGTGAGAACTCTTAACGATAGATTTCAATCCTAATGCTTAAGAAAATGTAACAAATAATAATAGTGAACATAGAAAACAAGCTGCCAGCATGAAAAATAAAAACAATAACTAATTTTAAATATTTTATACATTTCCCTCAATTGTGCTTATTTAATGCAAAATGAATGAAAAGGAAACCCAACTGAAATAGCTGACGAAAGTTTTCCAATAGCAATCAATAACTGGATCATGTTCGACACTCACATAGCTGATGTTGGATACAAGTTTTCATATAAGCAATTTTTAAGAAAAGCGTCACCACAGTAAATAAATATATAGGAAATAGAAAGGCTCTATAGGCTGCAAATTTAATCGAAAGAATTGTTCACAGCCAGGCTTCTGAGCAAGTTGATTGAGATGGAACTAATAAAGTTAAATGCATAAATCGAAGGTTTGGCGAATAATTAGTTCATCAAACACGACACACAGGTATACATATATAAAATATGCGTACATATATTATATATATGTGCACTCTCACAGGCGTATATACGTATATATCTATCTGAGTATGTATGTGCGGGCATATATGTGTGTATACTTCTTTTTTACACTGACAAAAATTATATATATGGATACATCGCATACTATGTAATAAAATAAAAATAAAATATTTGAAGCAAATGATGAACATTTTTCCTACAACTAGTTGCATTTAAATGAATTTTAAAAAAATATACATAAAAGGATATATTTATTAAAAACTAAAACAAAAAAAAAGGAACAAAATAAATAAAACACAAATCCAAAATCCTTTCTCTACTGAATAAAAACACATAACACTTTAAATTAATATTAAACTAGTCATTTAAATGGGGTTCAATGAATACCAAGCAAGATCAAGCAAAATGAAATTGTAACCTAGAAATATTTAAATTAAAATAATTTTAAAAAGTGAAAAAGAAACAAAGAAATAGCAAAAAATAAAGCGCTGATTTTTTATGTCGTTATTAGTATTTAAATTTAAATAATTGCATATACATAATACATAATTAAATAAAAAAAAAAAAAAAAACAAAAACAAAAAACATAATATATGACATACCAAATTAGAAGAAAATTGAAATTGGTCATTTTGACCTAAATAGTAAATTATAGAAATGAAAAATAAAAAAAAAATGAAAGAAACAATGAAAAGACAAGATGGAATCCCAAGTAAAACGATTGTAAAATTTTAATTATTATTATTCAATAATAAAAACAACAAAAAGATTTGACAGAAATACAGAAAAAAAAATATTTTAAGTTTTATTCTCATTTACATCTTAAAAATATCAACTGGAGATCACAAGAGGAGCGATACAACTGTGAGGGCGATCTAAGGCGAGGATCTTTCTGCACCAACACGGATCAACTCGGAAAGGTAAATTCTGTTTAAATCTAGCGACACTAGAGTAACTAAGGACTATGGTAATGTTTATAACAAAATGTAAATATATTTTATCAATGTTCATGATATCGTAACTCATTATAATATACATTCATTGCAAAAACACTGTATACACTGTAAAAATTAAAACTTAGACTATGTAGTAGCGAAAGGCAAACGAAATGTTTTGCATAATCAATGAATAACTTGAAAATATTTTTGACATTTATATTCAAAGTGGTAAAATTTCATACATGATTTAAAAGATATAGACCTTTTGAAAATTTTACTAAAAGAAAATTCTGATTCCTCGCGCAGTTTGTCAACAACCGGCTGAAATTAAAATCCTCTTCCTTCTTTAGAATCCTCCTATTTAATAAAAATGTATAAATAAATAACTAGCTAGCCAAACCTACTGATTTTAGCTGCAGCTAAAGGAATTCTGCGTGTATGTATGAACTTTATTTTCATTTTATCCATTTTGTGGACACTTGAATCTCTCAAAAATTCTATATTTAAACCAATATTTCGGCATGATTTCTTTAAGACCTTCTCTTTATTTTCAAAGTCCACACAATCTAGCTTAATTATCTAAAAACCATACACAATAACTTTAGTTTTGAGTCATCTCTACCCGCTTGTGCACTTTTTCTTATACATTTGCTTTTGCATGTTACCGTCACATCATTATCAAGTGTTGTATGAAATATATATCTATGTGAAAAATAGCTAACATATTATTTTATGTAATCCTGTTTCTGATTGCCAACACACCCGCGAGTTTCTTTTGGTAAGTATCTATACATTATATTTTTGAAATAAGTTATTCAAATCATTTTCATTTCAGGACATTTCTACGCCGTTGAAAATTCGTGTTAGCCACAACACCGGAGGAGTACATTTTGAATTCAAAATTTCACTCAACTTTGGTTATTGATAATGATTTTATATAAATTCTGTAATTTATAACCAATAAAATTTATAACGTTTATAAAAAGCTCTTATATTTTTACTGCTTTAAACGGGCATAAAAAAGGGGATTACCAAGTATAGTATATTACCAAGTAGGAAACTCACAGGATGATCAGTGTAGCTGCAATATAAAAAAAAGAATATTTTTTCAAAAATTTGTATTTAACTAAGGAAAACTTAATTCGTAGCTCATTAGAAAATTTAAATCGACTTCTAGAAATACGCCATTTTTTTGGGATAAAAATAAAGAGGCCAATGAAATGTTTATACCTTACTAAATCAACGTAAATTAAGAATATAAATACTGCACAAATTTAACAAAATGTTCTTGGGGGTATTTCTACTGAAAAACAGCATCCTGGCTTTTAATTTCCTACGAAACCTTATATCATACGGTTCGTCTATAGTATAGATAGACTCTATACGAACCACCGGAACCACTTTTCTAAATTTTTCTACTTCTACACATTGGCACATTTGCTGAGATTTATACCAATGCTTCAATATTTGAACGTTTTCCAATATTCCATCTGCAGTTATTAAATTCTGGTTATTTCAATGAGAATTGGTGGTGGAAAATTTCAACAGTTTTAATTTGTTGTCTCTTGAATGATTAAAAAATTCTGGTTTTATTCAAGAACAAGATCTAAAAAATTGAAGCGTTTTAAAACATTTTAAAATATTTTCAATATCGAATTATAGAATATCGTATATAAAACGATATTATATATATAACGAAAAGTATATTTCCGTTTTTCCGTTTCCAGTTATATGGCAGCTATAGGATATAGTCGGCTGATCCTTATAAAATTTATTAGGTCGTATTATTTTGTCAAATATAGCATTCGTACAAAAACTGACTTCTCAAAATGTAAAAACACCAAAGTTATAGCATTTTCGATCAATCAGTTATATGGTAGCTATATGATATAGTTGCCCGATTTGGCTGAATTCAACATATTATTTTAGAATAAAAATATAAATATTTTGTGCAAAGTTTCCAGTCCCTACCTCAACTAGAAGTATTTTTGGCCGCTCACTTCATACAAGCCGGACCACTGTCGCGAAACCCACCGAAAACTCAAACGTTAAAACGAAAAGTGTACATTTGAGAATATTATTTTTGTTAATTATTATTAATTTTTTGTATTTCAACTATTTATTGAGTATTTAATGGGGTGTTTCGTTTAGTGTACTTAGATTTTGTTTTGTACTGGGCTTAGTTGTTTTAAATTGTCTATTTGTTGTTGTGTTTCGTAGTGTTTTGGAGTATTCGTTGAGTTTTTGATTTTATTGTATATATTTTATTTATTTTTATTAATTATTATTATTTATTAAGTATTCATTATTTTTGTAAAATGTGATATTGAGATAGGAAAAGGACAAAAATTTCCGAAGATTTGCTTTTTATTTGCGTTTTCTGGGCATTTTTGTTCAAAATCACAAGTTTTTGGCTGTTCATAAAAATAGCATAAAAATAGTTCATACAAAAAAATATTTTTCTTCTTTTAAAATAATCGTGGTCGAATTATTTTTTTCAATTTTTTTTTTCAATTTTACAACACTTTTTCAATTTTTGAAATTTTTCAACTTCGCGGTGCCGAAATAACATTTTTTTTCGGACTGTTTTTTCGGCACCGCGAAGTTGGAAAACGTATAATTAGTGTTGCAAAAAAATATACCCCGATATTTACAAGGTGTTCGATAGATGGCGCTCAAGAAGTTACTTCGAAATGTAAACCAATTTTCACAGCCTGCTGTCTAACAGGTTTGAAACACCTATCTGGGAACGAAGTTTTGAGGCGCCATCTGCGGGTGTCGTTGCTTTTCTGCACAGATGTAAATTCTACATGTCTTCTACATGTAGAAAATAAGAGAAAGCTTGAAAGTGTTGAAAAATGTCCGGGATTTCAATGTTGAGCGGGCAAATTTGAATTAAAACCAAAATATTGGAGTCCATGGGAAAAATTAACAAAAAAATGGAATCGATAATGGGTTCCAAGGTTTTGATGCAGTTTGATAGAGAATCGATCCAGAAATCGTTAAAGGTATTCCGTTCAACGATCGGATCAATATTGACAGAGATATGGACATCGCTATGGGCCATATAGGCCGCCCCATGCATTTCCCCATTTTCAAGGGAGTCCATAGGAAAAATTGACAAAAAATTAAATCCAAAATGGGTTCCAAGGTTTTGATGCAGTTTGATAGAGAATCGATCCAGAAATCGTTAAAGGTATTCCGTTCAACGATCGGATCAATATTGGCAGAGATATGGACATCTCTGTAGCCCATATAGGCCGCCCCATGCATTTCCCCATTTTCAAGGGAGTCCATGGGAAAAATTGACAAAAAATGGAATCAAAAATGGGTTCCAAGATTTTGATGCAGTTTGATAGAGAATCGATCCAGAAATCGTTAAAGCTATTCCGTTCAACGATCGGATCAATATTGACAGAGATATGGACATCGCTGTGGGCCATATAGGCCGCCCCATGCATTTCCCCATTTTCAAGGGAGTCCATGGGAAAAATTGACAAAAAATGGATCGAAAATGGGTTCCAAGGCTTTGATGCAGTTTGATAGAGAATCGATCCAGAAATCGTTAAAGGTATTCCGTTCAACGATCGAATCAATATTGGCAGAGATATGGACATCGCGGTGGGCCGCCCATGCATTTCCCCATTTGCAAGGGAGTCCATGGGAAAAATTGACAAACAATGGAATCGAAAATGGGTTCCAAGGTTTTGATGCAGTTTGATAGAGAATCGATCCAGAAATCGTTAAAGGTATTCCGTTTAACGATCGGATCAATATTGACAGAGATATGGACATCGCTGTGGGCCATATAGGCCGCCCCATGCATTTCCCCATTTTCAAGGGAGTCCATGGGAAAAATTGACAAAAAATGGAATCGAAAATGGGTTCCAAGGTTTTGATGCAGTTTGATAGAGAATCGATCCAGAAATCGTTAAAGGTATTCCGTTCAACGATCGGATCAATATTGGCAGAGATATGGACATCTCTGTGGGCCATATAGGCCGCCCCATGCATTTCCCCATTTTCAAGGGAGTCCATGGGAAAAATTGGCAAAAAATGGAATCGAAAATGGGTTCCAAGGTTTTGATTCAGTTTGATAGAGAATCGATCCAGAAATCGTTAAAGGTATTCCGTTCAACGATTGGATCAATATTGACAGAGATATGGACATCCCTGTGGGCTATATAGGCCGCCCTATGCATTTTCCCATTTTCAAGGGAGTCCATGGGAAAAATTGACAAAAAATGGAATCCAAAATGGGTTCCAAGGTTTTGATGCAGTTTGATAGAGAATCGATCCAGAAATCGTTAAAGGTATTCCGTTCAACGATCGGATCAATATTGACAGAGATATGGACATCGCGGTGGGCCATATAGGCCGCCCCATTTGCAAGGGAGTCCATGGGAAAAATTGACAAAAAATGGAATCCAAAATGGGTTCCAAGCTTTTGATGCAGTTTGATAGAGAATCGATCCAGAAATCGTTTAAGGTATTCCGTTCAACGATAGGACCAATATTGGCAGAGATATGGACATCGCTGTGGGCCATATAGGCCGACCCATGCATTTCCCCATTTTCAAGGAAGTCCATGGGAAAAATTGACAAAAAATTGAATCGAAAATGGGTTTCAAGGTTTTAATGCAGTTTGATAGAGAATCGAGAAATAAATAAAATACTACTTCTATAGAAAGGTTTTTAAAATCCATCCCTCAAAATAACGGTATTTTCACCTTTGTGAAGTTTTTAATGTTTAAGCTTTCAAGTTTCACTTCTCAGCTTTTAGTTATCACATTAAGGGTAGCGGTAGGTTGAGCGGGAAAATTTGAATTCTGACCAAAAATAGAAGTCGAAAATACCAGCAAAAGAATCAATTTAAAAAAAAAACAAAGAATGTGGAAAATTTAAAATGGAAAAGAATCTAAATCATGTTAATATCAAGAAATTATAATTACGATTTTACAATTCAATTTAAAAACGCCCACCAAGAAGATCAACTGATGCAACTGCATCTCGTTGGCACCGGAGTAGGAATCAGCAGATATATACTAATAATGAATCTGCAGTCCCTATAGTTATGAACGATCTTTATATATAAAGTTTTTTTTTAAAGACTTTAAATCTACTTTATGAATATGTTAACTTATCAAGTTCAATTTTTTTATTTTTTATTGCAGAAATTGGCTTATAGTTAAAAATGTGTTTGTGGTTTTAGTTGAAACAGTGTTTGAATTATAACAGGCAAATGGAAGTGAAAATGGGTTTGAAAGATTTATACATAATCCATTTTTATAACTTTACCTTAAAAATGTTTTATTTGATGTAAAAACTATGTAAATAAATTAATAAACAACAAAATAAACAAAATAATTTAGGTGAAAGGAACCCCTCCGTGGGTAAATGTGTTAAGGGATGCAACAAACCTACTTTGTGGCTGATGTTTGATGTTGTTGTTGGGATGTACAAAAAATAAAATTGCAGAGCAAATATGCAATCCCCAGGCCATCGAAGCCTGACTGACCACTCTTATCATAATAGGGGTAGGTGATGAGCCCGTTCTATGCAGTTGGGTCGGCGGCCCCCGCCATCGCTTTTATTTTTTGCGCGGTATTACACATTTTTGTGCGTGAAAAAAAAAGAAGAATTAAAATGTATATAATATTTTTTTATATATGCGTTTAACAAAGCGGTTTAAGCGTGTACATAGGTGTGTGTGGGTTGTTGTAGTTGTTGTCTATGTAAATAGAGGGGGTGCCACCTATGTGCCCGCACACAATTCCGTACTGCAGCAACAACACCAACAACAATGCGCATTTGTTGTACATTAAAATTGCCGCCTCCTGTCCCCCGGCCTGAGTGTGCGAGTGTGTGTGGCGGGGGGGTCCTGACAGTGCGTGTGAGTGTCGTGTAAAGTATATAATTAACGGCATTGCACATATGTACAAGTGTGCGTA